CTTAAATTTTTAATTAATACTTATAACTTTTAACTTTACTCACTAAAATGAATTAAATTTTAAAGAGTTAAATCTGATTTTTGTAGTGTATATTAGTTTGGTTACGCATGATATGTTTGAAACCGTCAGTAATTAATTTGACAAATAATGCTAATATATCTTTAATCTAAGAATACCATATGTATCTATGCATCAAAAGAAAAAAAATCATATGTACATCTAAGCACAACGGATGCCGCAAAAACCAAAACTGCCTTTCAATTCAAAACGGCAAGGCAGTCCCTCTATTTTTAACTGAAATAAATTAAATGTTTTTATTTTAAAAAACTTGTCTAATTGTTATTGAGAAAGCACAACCACCAATTAGTACGTACGCTACACAAAAAGACGTATGCCATAGTTGGCTTATGATAAGCCAGGTCACAAGCATTAACACTTCACTTTACAAACTACAATCATTTTTTGTCTTTTTTCTTTTATTGGTTTGGTTTATTTATATCTTGAAATGAAACCAATCAGACGGCCAATTTGTTTTATGTACTGCTACCATTTCAGGTACTTTTGTGTCTTTTCCATACAGCCGATCTAGCCCATAAATTCACTACGTTCTAATTTCTAAGTTTATTAATTTTTCTATTTTATTTTGAGTTGCTATTAACTATAAAAATTGACAAAACTGAGGTCAAAACTTCAATGCTTAGCCATGGTGTTGTCTTGTTTTTCAAGACAACAAAATACACATGGATATACTTAATTTTGTATCTTTCTATAGCATAAAATTGCTTTTAAAAAGTGTATGTATTCGAAAATTCATATTGTTGTGTAAATGTTAAACTAGCAGTTAGTTTCCTTCTGGTTGGATTTTTCAAACAAACAGCAAGTAAAGCAAACTTACTTATGCATGTCACTTGAATTATACCAAGTATTACTAATTAATGTTTTCAAAAATTTCTTTGGCTTTTATTATTTTGTTTGTAAAATTGTACAGTGAGCTTATTTTCGGCTTAAGATAAACAGCAAAAAATAAACAAGCTGTTATTATTAAAGCTGTTTTAACGGAGCACTGATATATTTTGGTTTTGAATGCAAGTTGGAAGCGATACTAGGAATTTTTCCAAGGTTTGGTAGACTCTCAAAGAATATCATTTCACTTTAAACTCTTGACAACAAATATATTTTGTTTGTAGGACATTTAATTAGGATCAAAGAACCATTTATCGAATCTTTTTGGTAAATTAATCAGCAACATTTTGCTGTTAATTTGAAGGCACCAGTCAAGTTAAAATTTCAATTTGATAATTTTGATCAAGATTGAGTGAAATTTGGAATTCGGTTTATTGAAATCATATTTGGCAATTATCATATTACGTAGAAGTTAAAAATTGCTTAAAGTTCACTTCTTAAAATAATTTAAAGATTAAATAGAGTATCACATCATATACCCCAAATTAAAACATATGTTCGACAAAGCCTTATTTTTGTAACATCTTTTGTTTGATTAATCGACCTTTCTATAATATAAAAATTTTATAAGATTAGAATATACATAGCATTTGTTAAGAATTTTATAATTATAAAGAAATTTATTATTTTTAACTTCAAATGCTCACTTTACTGTTTTAGCATGATCGTACCCAAGTTTTGGTGAACATACAGTTAAGTCACGAAGTTCTAGACTTCAAGGTTTAATTTTTTGTCAACTGTTTGTTGCATTAAAAAATATAAAATACTTAAGAAGAATTTTGTCTCTAGATTTTTTTTTATTTAAAATCTATAGGAATATTAAGGAGAATTCTCATTAGTATTTTTTTTTAAGTAAACGAAGATAAATAATCAAAAGAAAGGAAATATTACGAGTGAAGAAATTGCGCTCCTATAACATCAACTAAAATGAGTCATTTCAGATCAAAAGAGGAGAATTCAACTCTAGATATGGAAAATTAGAATTTGGATCCAATGTAACTAAAATATCAGCCCACATACCAAGTTAGTATGCATACCATAAGGATATATTGAAGGATACTTTTATTAATTAAAATAAAAAACACCGAAAGACTCTTTGCATATATTTTAGATATTTCTTTATATATATATATATATATATATATATATAACATATTATATAAGTCTCATAAATATATAGATGTTTTAAATGAAGACGTTGAAATATTTTAAAATCTTATCTTTATGTATACCTGACTTAATTTCATATTTGCTAAACTCTTTTTCATGTTAGTTTATATATAGATAAATTAATAGCTCTTGTCGTCAGTCCATGTTACAACTATAAATAAATGTGACAGTTTGTATACAAACAAGATATAAAAAGTTATTGTTCAACTTTCAATTTCTTGAAATATAACGTCCTGAATTGTCTAGATATTTAAAAGAAATTACCAAAAAAATGGACCCAAATATTTTAGAGTAAAATTTTATTAAATTAAAAAATGGATAACAAAAAGGTTTTGTTGATTAAATTAACAAAATAGATAATTAATGAATTTTACGTTTACAATGTTTGATTTTATTAATGATGCATATTTTACAATGAAATATTAATTAATGTAATTTTAAGAAAATTTTTAATATATTTAATTTCTCGTTGAAGAATTGATTATGGTCCAAAACTGTGTGGCGGGGGGATTATAATTAAATTATACATGAAACATTCTTAATTAATATTCATTATCCGAATAACATTTATGTAACCACTAGGTTAGCCTAGTGGTTGAGAGGGGAGGGGTTGGTGTAGTTAGAAGTATGAAGACCTAGGTTCAATCTTCATTACGGCCATCTTTGTAATGTTTCTTATCTCTAAAAAAAAAAAAAAGAATAACATTTAATTACACATTTTTTTTAATTACCAAAATCGAGTGTGTCAAATGATGTAAACTTAAAATTAAGTGTGAAAATTTTAACTGTTATTGGTGATTCATTAGCAATGTTTACTGTGTAGTATAGTAGAATGTGCATTCTTTTCCAACATCAATGTGGGTGCAGGTAGTCGCCTAACTCAAGATTGTTACGGAGTTTTTTTTTTTTTTTTCAGTTATTAATTGTAATGCATGAAATGAAGGTAGTGCCCCAACCAATCAACTTTATGGTTCCATTGGGATCCATGAAATGCAGCAATTGTTGCAGTATCAATGGTTGATAGAGACGAAGGACTATGCATGTTTTGATATTTGTTGACTCGATGGTGCATGAAAGTTATTTCTAATTGTTTACACATGGGAGTCAGGATTTGTCCTCTAAACAAATATGTACCAATAAGGAAAGCCACATTCCAAACTACATGAATTCTTTTCAATGTCCATTTCTAGTTGGATGTGGTTATCGTCTCCTGCCTCTATAGCTTGCGGGGTGTTACAAAGATATCACCACCTATGTATGTTAGATGGTCTGGTTAAAGGCATCTTGCTGTGTAGTCCTATAAGTTTTTGTTGGAGTGTATATAGTTAAGAGTTAATTACTTATACATTGTTAGTGTAAAATTTTTTTACATTAGTAGTTAATCAGAGTCATTAATATTACCTTTTCATCTGCTTATTTAATTAAATTAAAATAAAAAAATATTATTAACGATTCTGATTGACTACCTGTGTAAAAAAATTTAGAGTATAAATAATTAACTCTATAATTAATTGACTTCTATAGAATCTATAGCTTTCAGTGTCTTTCTTCGTATATAAGTACACAAAATCTTCTGATGTATCATTCATTCAATAATAATGAATCTTTTTTATTTAATTACCAAAGTATTTATTCATTCCCATTCTTTTTCTCCTTACTTCCATTTCATTTACTTCATTTGAATCCTAAGATTTTTAAAGAAAGTATTCTAATGGATGAAATCCCTGTGTCTACATGTAAATATTATTGCTACTAACGATATATATAATATTTTAAAATATAGTTGAGAATTTGATATGTGATTTATATATATGAAAAATATTTATTGAGAGGACAATTTTTAAATAATTTTAAATGATTATACATTTGAAAGTAATTTTAATTAATATTATTTTCAAACTTTAATTTAAACACAAATTTTGACGGGTGATTTATTCATAAATTTTACTCAGCGGTTCAGAAGAATTCACATGCCTATTTTCCGATATCATTGTAGGTAGGTATAGATAGTCCTAATGCAAGATTTTTGTGGAAAAGTTTAATTTTTGTTTAGAGTTGTAACTTTGACAGTACTGAACTTGGTTTTCTTTCTATTAATTAATTTATGTGGAAGTTTATTAAAATAGTTTTAGTTTTTAGAATTGAATGAAAAATATATTTGATTTAAAAAAAATGAGAGAAGAGTAAAGAGTAAAGAGTAAAGAGTGTAGTTAGTAGGGGTGATATGGCGCGTAGAGTTGGGGTGTCTGGAAGTAACAGTGAGCAGAAAAAACCCAGAGACGTACACTACCGAGTCGAATTGTAAATGGCCGCAAATTCTAGGTTGCCCGCCACGTTAACTTCTACCTCTAGCTGTAAAAACATAAATATAATAATCATTTCCCAACAAAAAAATAGAAAAACATTGCGACTAAAAAAGTTAATTGACCCACACACACAGATACACATGACTCACCCACCCCAGCAGGAGTGGCTGGCCAGCACAAAATGAAGTTGGTTCGTTCACCGTTCACGACACTGAAATGACGAAAGTATCCTACCATGTTTTCACTTGCCATAATGGAAGCGAATTACAAAAAGTATCCTCTTGATTAGTCAAACCATCTTGACCGATTACCGCTAAATACCCGGGTATCTTGGGCCTCACGTGACTGACTCACCATATGATTCCTCATCACCGTTCGATTTGCCCATTGCTCTCCATCTCTTACGCGCAACGTGTTCCCATCTGGTGGATGCGGCGAGCCGTATTCTTGGGTCCTGCCTTCTCACTTCTCTCTTCTCACTACCCGCACCAAGCCCGTTTTAATTTTTATCCCCTTAAAGAAAAAAAGAAAATATTTAATTTAATAGAAGTGTGGGACAGTGAAAAATCAGTTGTTGGATGCTATAAAACAGGGTTACGGACTCATGAGGCAGCCACTTGCAACTGAACTCTTGCTCCCTACTTGTTTGGTTAGCAGTTAGCCCTTTACCGATTCAACACCACCTTCCGCCTGGAGGCTCCGCTCCTCTCTGCTTTGAATCCAAAGATATATCCTTTCCTTTCCATTGAAGAAGTTTCAACGAAGGTCTCCGGCACCCATCATGTCAAAAGTTCCCCTTTTCTCTTTATTCCTCCTATCCATCTCCACTCTAGCTCCCTTCCGTTTTTAATACTTGTTACTTTCCTTTTACCCTCACCTTTTGGAAGATTTCTCCAACAAAATCCCCATCCTAAAGCCTCAACCTTCCCCTTCACGACTCCGCCTACTACTATTTGTTCCCCCCGCTACACTCCTCACTCCTCACAATGGAAGAGAGTATCCTATGCAAAGAGAGAGTCACCAAGAAGGTCCTCTCCCCCAACGACTCCCAAACCAATTCAAGAATAGTGCGCATATCCTACACTGATCCAGACGCCACCGACTCCTCCAGCGACGACGAAGGGACCCCCGTACTCCGCCACAGAATGAAGCGATTCGTCAACCAGATTCAAATACAAACCGCCGCCTCCAACTCCCGGAAAAGGCCCGCCGCAGACACCTCCTCTTGCCGTCGCCAAGTCAAGCTCCACGGCGGCAAGAAGTTCCGCGGCGTCCGCCAACGCCCCTGGGGGAAATGGGCGGCGGAGATTCGAGATCCGGGCAGGAAGGTTCGTCTCTGGTTGGGAACCTACGACACGGCGGAGGAGGCGGCCATGGTCTACGACAATGCCGCCATCAGGCTTCGAGGCCCCGACGCGTTGACGAACTTCGTAACGGCGCCGGCAAGGGAGGCAGCAGGCATGAAAATGGGCGCGGTGAAGGAAGAAGCGTCCGGTTGCGGGTACGAGTGGAGCGAGGATAACTGCGAGGAGCAGCACAACCTGTCCTCTCCCACTTCGGTGCTCCATTTCCGGAGCGAGGAAAGGTCGGAGTCTGAGAAATGTGAACAGGGGGAGGGGGAGACCGAAGCGACCTTGTTCGACGAGACGGGTGAGTTCTTCTCTGTGGACAACATGCCTGCTTGGGATGACGTCTTCAATTTCGAAGCTCCCCAGTACCCTCTCTTGTTCCAAGACGATGAGCCTCTTCACCCGGACTCCCATTTGTTGGACCAAACGCTGCCCTTTTCCCCGGAACAAGCTTTCACTCACAGTAGCATTCTTCTCGCCGACTCCCTCATAGATTTCGACAAAGCATGTTCTCCATCCTCCACGTCCCAACTCGACCCTTACGATTACTTCCAAGACATTTTGTTCGCCTCAGGCTCAGACCCTCTTGTCCGTCTTTGACTCTCCATTTTTGCTTCCTTTAATTAATTAAGAAAATATTTATATATATTATTATATATTTACCTTTATTTAGTTACTTTCTTTAGATGGTCCGTTACAAATAGTTAACTGAGACTTGAGACTTGAGAGTTGAGAGTTGAGAGTCAAGTTTTGTTTAAATTTTGCTTAATAAGTAGGATGGTTGAGACGACAAGAATCGAATGAATGTATATTTGTCCACATGTTAATCCAACTGTAATGCTCTTCGTTTCAATTTCATTTCCTATTCTTAAAACCATTTTTGAACAATGTATGTGAATGGTGAAGGGTGAAGGGTGAAGGGTGAAGGGGCGATGATTGCGGTCGCGGCCGGTTAGTCGGTTAGGTGCCGTGAGGGGCAGCCTCGTTTGTTTATGTCATAAATCATAATGTGAATTAGAGACTTGACTTTAATTAATTTGTTTTTTTGGAAGAAACAAAAGAAATGTTTAAAACGTTACACAGCGCACGCGGAGTGAACATAAATCTTTGGGGCTTTAGGTGCAAAGGAAAACAAGTCCATAAAGACAAACCGGTGCGTGTGTCAAGTGTATTCTAATGTGTACATCAAAAGCTGAACTTGAACCAGAGACCAGAGTGTATCAATTGTCGGGATTGGACTTCTCCTTGCACAACCTTTTCTTTCTGTTTTCACCTGTATATTCACCCATTTCAATTCAAATCACAACTCATTAAGACGTAATTGCCCTTTATTTCGCTACTTACGTTCCGGAGGAGTCACGACTTTCTCTTCCTTTCATATTTAGCCTCATCAACAGTCTTCAAATGAAATCAAGAGACAAAATAAAAATGTTTCACCAAATCAAATATCACAATTCAATTTCGTGTTACCTATACAAGTGCATTTAAAATGGTTGTTTGCTTCATTTTTATCTCCTTTTAATGCAACACTCCTCACACAGTCGCTTCCCAAATTAATTTCAATTTCCTCGTTTTTAATTGGATTATTACAATTCATGCGTTTATTCTTCAATCGAATCATCTTACCTAGATTATATTCTTTCGGTCAACCCAAACAATATGCGCAGATGGGGTTCAAAAGTCAGCTTCCCAAGCTGGCCGAAGAATGATTGAGAGATGAAAATCCTACTTATAATTTCCTTCTTCTTTTTGAATTTGTATCCAATTGATATGACACAAAATGAAAGATGAGTGTAACTGATATGACGCAAAATCATTAGTATGATCTTCCCCTATTAATATTATTTTTAAATATGACCGAAATAATTCTTCAAATATTAAAATGTTTTATATGAATAAAATTGTATCTAGTTCAGGCATGTGAGTATATATATATATATATAACTTCCATATTTATAGTAGACATCAAATTCTATTTTTTTTATTAAAGAATATAAATATTAAATTATTTAAACAATTTTTTTTACTTATATAGTTGTATATTATATATGGGTGTTTGCCCACTATCCTGGTATATCTTTACTGTGTGTCTGGAGATCATGATTTATAATGGATTAGAAAAGAAAAGAGTTGAATTTTTTTGGTAGAATCATTTGTGAGTATTCAAATGTAAATGAAGGTATAGGCTCCATAAAGAAGAAAAAAAAAATATCCCCTATACAGAGGGAATTTACTTTGAATTTTGAAAAAAAGATAAAAATATGGTTGATTGAATTTTTTATTTTTTTTGTCATTCGATTAAATAATGACCAAATATAATAAAAATATAATTTTAAAATACTAATTTATTCCTATTTCTTATTCAATTCTACTTTATCAATCAATTACAAATTTTACTTTATTTTTTGTATGTCATTTTTTTAAGAGATTAGTTAATAAAAAATAAAAGTAATATAATAGTAGTAATGCTTAATTTTTTAAAAAAAACTGATTTAATTATAAACATTTGAAAATAATAATAATGCTATAATATTTTAGAACATTTGTTCGCAATTAAAATATTTTCTAAAGGTAGCAATGCTAATATTTTGAAGAAAAAACATACAAATTTCTATACGAAAGAAAAGGTATGCTTCTGGTCTTAAAAGAGAGATCAATTATTTGTACATGCGGAAGGAGAAAAATAAAAACTTGGGTGCAGCTCGTGTACCAGACAAAAGAGGAAGCTTAAAATGGACACAATTGAAGATTCCTAGTATCACTCCACTGTTGCTTTCAGTGGGTGAATTATTTCGTCTGCATTCACTTCATTAAACAAAATCACTATATAATCAGTTTTTATTTACTAATAATACCGATATATTATCTTTTGTTGGATAATGGATATATATATTTAAGAGAGAGAGAGAACTTTATTCAAATTATTGATAACACGAACCTATTAATTACTGATTATCTATTAGTTTTAAACCAAATAAAATAAGAAAATATTAATCTAATTTTTTAATTAATGTGTTTTATTTAATTGTAATTATGTTTTTGAAAATTAAAACTAATTAACAGGTTTAATTAATATGATTGTAAAAAAAATGGTTTAATATACATATATAATCATCTTAAATGAATGTTTTTAAATTACACAGAACAATTCTCATTCATTAATTTTGACGGATTTAAGGGAAACTAATTAGCTTTAGTATTTTCCCCACAGTCATCCCATATTAGAACATTATCTTATCAGGTAAAAAAAAAAAAAAAAGCAAGAAAACGCACCTAATTAAATAAATTTGTTCTAAGCGCAAAAACTAAATACAGTATTTAAAACTTGTACCTAATGATTGATCATAATTGATATGATAATATATAGTGATATGTATGTACAATATTTAATTCGCCCACAAACATACGACTATGTATCTTTGTGGATCAATTAGTTATTTTGACCGCGCAACCCTCGTATGAGTAAACCGAACATTCTTCCCCCCCGCCCACCCCCAAAAAAAAAAAAAAAAAAAAGAGTAAAGTGTTTAGCAATTCCCTATCATTATGAATGTAGAGAGAATAATATGAGGAATCCTTGTTGCAGGAAATATCCTTTACGCAATTTGCATGGAAAAAACTGGAGTTATATGTTGTGGTGATAGTATCTGAGTCTCCATGCATGTGATGGTCATGGGTAGAGTGGTATGCGTGGTGGGAGAGAGGCCATGTCTGGTGAGCATAAAAGTATTGAATTGCTTGACTATTACTCCATGACATGTGTGTGTGCGTGTAGCAAGGGGAGAGAGAGAACAGAATCAACAGAAAAAGGGAATAAGGGATGGGATAAGCTCGAGTGAATGATTATGTCGCAGCTCCATCGGAAGCAAACATTGGTGTTACATTTGTTCTTCATGGTCATGGTACAATCCGAATTGGCGTTATCATTAGTCTCACGCGCTCCATCACTCGCTCACCCTCTCTACATATGTTTTCTATCAAATCCATCCTCATAATTGTGTTTTCAACTTGATACACATGATTTATTAATTAACTTAATTGAGTGAAAATTATTGTTTTGGGGGAAACTTAATAGTTGTTCCAATTTCGATTTGATATATATAGTGGCATTTGATGAAGCTGCAAAAATGGGCTCCATATGGCACACACACTAGTGTTAAAGGCAATGCTTTATAAGATGGTCGAATTTACATGAGGTATTGGTACGTGGACATAATGGAACCAAAGGTGTTTCTTTCCCACCAATGTGGTTGGATATGCAGAAGTTGGGCTAATGTTTAAGGTGATTGCCGGTTGGTAAAAAGGGAAAATCAAATTTTTATGATATATGATATGATATAGTTATGTGCCTGCTTTGGTGTCCCATGGCATGTGTCATGACCACCTGCAGGTTCCCATATGCCCATATGTGTATTGCATCAACACAATGGTCCCTAAAGTGCGCTTTCTTGATGCTACCCAACATGCTTCCACACAAATATATGCCAAAATATCTATATTTATTTCTCTAATGCAATCAACTTTTTTTCACTTACATTTTGCCTTAAATTACTTAATTTCTCTTCCACAATCAATGGGGGGATGATAAATAGTAGGCACATCACCAATTTCACAACCTAATACTACTATATCATGGTGGAGTACTTGCCACAGGTTTTTAACATACTTGTTCAATATATTTTTATTGTTAATTAAAGTTTATTAAACAATAAAATTATAATTAATTAAGTTGGACTTGTTAAATAAAAAATGTGGCCAGCAAAGTTTGTAATTTCATTTTTAAGAAAACAAAAATTGTTTTCTAATTTAATTTCATTTTATTGTATTATATATAGTAAAATAAATAAATAAATGAAGCATATAAGATAAGAGTCCTATAACTCCTTCTTTGGTTTAAACTTATCCGGTTAAAAATATTTTCATGTTTTCAAAACTTGTTTTATTATTGGTTGAATTTTGTTGGAAATTAAAATGATTATTAGGTCTCACTCTTTATTTGATGAACATTAATTAATAAAAAATATTGCTCTTTTTCTTTAAAAATTAGATTGTGTTTATATTTTTGTAATTTAAAAAATAAAATAAGGTAATTTATGTAATTTTATTTATTTATTCATTTATAATAATTTACCAGTATGATACCTCTTGCAATGCATGAACAACAAGTATAAATTTTGAAAATAATTGTATTCATATTATATATAAAATTCAAAGTGCATATAATTTAAAAATTATAAATACAATAAATAATTTTTACACTATTATTCAATTACAAGCTGGTTTTATTAATTATAAATGTAGAATCGTATTTTTATTAATTGATTAGAGATTTTTTTAGTTGTTAAAGTATATATTTTTTAGATATAAGAAAATAAATTATAAATCAGTTGAATTAAAAAATGTAACTAAGGAGTGTTTTGATTTAAAATTAAAACAATGACAGGTGCATGCTTAAAACAATAGCATCACATTTGTTAATTGGTTTTTTTTTTTTTTAAATTGATACGGTAGGCTAAATCAAACTAAATCAAAATGACTAATTCGATTTCTAATAAAATACAATACATCCTTCAATAATTTTTAATTTGCAATTCAACGTCATTAAATATACTCTTAATTAAAATAAAATCATATCACACAATTAATATCTATTCGCGGACACGCGTGTGTAGAATAAGATTCTTAATCATTGATTAAAGATTAATGATTATTGAGTAAAATGAATAGGGAAAAATTATTATTTATATAAATTATTGATTAAAAAAATAATTTTAAAATGAAAAACTAAAAGACATGTATCACAAAAATTCCCATTTTAAAGTTGACATCATGAAAGACACCGCTTAAAATAAATAAAG